GTCTTTTCTCGTGTTTGAAGAATTGGGGTCTGTTTTGTAAAGTGTGCTTCAATCTGCGTTTTTTCATGATTAGATTCATATAGGTATTTTTGATAGGACCACCACTGAAATTTTGCTCTGTTCTTCTCAATGTCGTCTGCTTTCAGGAGTCCCGAAATGTTGATCTATTCCATTATTGATAAGTGTTACACTTTTACTTGGCTTAGATCATTTCTGCCAAGTTTCTCCATTATAAAATTAATAAATATTTTGTATTTTAATAAGTAATTAACATCCACTGTGAATGGAGATATGGTTAATATCCTGTTCTTCATCTAACTTTTACTCAGCGGTTTTAAGTGTTCATTGATAATTCTTCAGTTATACTCTGATAGTTGGCAAGTGGTGATTTTTTCTGATTCCATCATTTCTTTTATACTCATTAGTTAGCATTACCTTCTTCTCCCTCCCTTTCTTCCTCTCTTCAAGAACTCATAGATGCCGTTTTTCTTTTTTTTTCGGTTGGTTGTAATCCATTACTATCATTATTGATTCTGGTACTCAAATTGTCCCAGATTTGGCAGGTGGGACCTGCTGGACACTGGCTCCTCTGCCCTTTTGACATGTTTTTGTTATTCTTTAAGACCTTCTTTACGTTTAGTTAAAAGATATTTCAGGCTTATTTTTAGCTTTCTCTGCCCCAGGCTTGGAATCAGCCACTTTCCCAAGGAACTTTGCTTGTTTTCATTGAAGGCTGGTGTTTAGAAACCAAGATCTGGGTGCTGCAGGGTGCTCATTGCTACAGGGTTGCTGCTGTTTCCATGCCTTCTTGGGGACAGATCTACGAAATACATAAATGTATATAACGCACACCTATAAACATACATACAGCTCTGTCTCTCTATCCGTGATGTTAGGAAAGATTGAGGGCAAGAGGTGAAGGGGGAGACAGAGGATGAGATGGTTGGATGGCATCACTGACTCAGTGGACATGAGTTTGAGTGAACTCTGGAAGATAGTGAAGGACAGGGAAGTCTGGCGTGCTGCAGGCTGTGGGGTCGCAAAGAGTTGGACACAGGCGGGTGACCGAACAACAGTAGCAAGCTAGACATCTCTTCTCGTGCCCCAAAGAGGTTATATCTCACATTCTTTAGGAAATGTGGGTCATAGTGTCCTCTGCTTTTTATTTAATTATTTATGACTGCACTGGGTTTTCGTTATTGCACATGGGCTTTCCCTAGCTGTGACGAGTGGGGGCTATCCTTTGGTGCTGCGCGCAGGCTTCTCATATAAATCCAGGCAGTCAGAGCACCCACACTGTTGTCCATTATACCATACTTCCCCAGTGTGTATGTGTCATACTGGAGTCATACGTTGAAGACTAATAAACAAATTCTGATGATCCCATGGACTGCAGCCCGCCAGGCTCTTCTGTCCATGGAATTCTCTAGCCAAGAATACTGGAGTGGGTTGCCATGCCCTTCTCCAGGGGATCTTCCCAACCCAGGGATTGAATCTGTGTCTGCCACATTTCAGGCAGATTCTTTCCTGTCTGAACCACCAGGGAAGCCCCATGGTAAGCTGAAAAGGGATTTATTATTTATTACTAGGAGGATCTGGAGTAGCTTACTGAATCAGTGGGAAGCTTGGAGAAGCAGGCTTGGAACACAAGCAGGACCATGAAGACTGGGGAGCAGAGAATAAGCCAGATGCAGAAAGAGTCTTGTTACAAGACCAGTGCCATTGCTGCTGCCACTGGTCAACATGGGTACCATGCTGCTGGCTGGTGACCACTCTGGACTCTTGGATATACTGCCATTGCTGATGTTGCATTACTGATGAAAATCTCTAACTGTCCTTCATCTTTGCATCACTCAGTAAAATTCAAAGGATTATGTAGAAACATTCTTTTGATGAAGCCCAGACCTCATTTTGGGCTTCCCAGGTGGTGCTTGTGGTGAAGAATCTACCTGACAGTGCAGGAGACAGAAGAGGCTCGGATTTAGTCACTGACTCAGGAAGATCTTTGGAGGAGTGCATGGCAACCCACTCCAGTATTCTTGCCTGAAGAATCTCATGGACGGAGGAGCCTGGTGGGCTACAGTCCATAGAGTTGCAAAGAGTTGGACACAACTGAAGCACCTTAGCACAGCACACACAGACTGCATTTTAAAAAGACCAGATTTGGTATGCTTTCTGATTTAATTGTCCTGGTAGACTCTGGGCAGAATGGTAACAGAAGCAAATAACAACTTTCCCAGTGTTGATCTTTAAAGATATACAATACTTGTTTGGTTAACCTTGATCCTGTTACATGATGAAATAGGTCATTAACATAATTTAAGGAGTTGGCAATTAAAGAATCAGAAGGCACTGGTTGCATATTGGTTAAATCCTGTGAAACTCAGAGTGACCATTTTTGATTCATTCTGTTTGGGTCATGGATTAAAAAGCATTAATTCCAGGTGACTGATAACTGAGTCATAAAATATATCTGGGTTTTCTGGTTAATTTTAACTGTAGGTGAAGAACTTCAGTGGATATTAAAAGGTAATATATTTTAGAAAAAGGCTGGTGATTTTGCTCATAAATATGCTCAGAATCAATGTTTTCAGAATTTTGTTATACAGGCCAGAGTTCCCTTTCACAAATACTATAACAAAATATTTTCAAGCCTTATCTGATGGCTCACTGAATGTAAGGGCTAATCCATATAACAAAATTTCAGTGTAGTCAAAAAGTTGAGTCAGGCCATGAACCAAGGTTTGACTTTTATCAACAACACTTAGTGGAAATTCATTTTACTAGGATTCTGAACTTAATAATAATGATTAAAACTTTTTGAATTCTTACAATAAGCTAGGCAATGTACAAAGTTCTGTGTGTATGTATACCTATCTATCTGTATATATCTTATCTTTTATTCCTCAAATAACCTATAAAATAAATTTTATTATTGACACTTTAAGGCTAGAACTGAGGCTGGGAGAAATAACTTGCCTGAGGTAACCCAGGAAGTGATGGAGTTGAGTTTTAAATCCACATTTGTTTGACCCTTGAGATTGCTCATTGTACTAGGAAGAAAAATCCTTAATTAGATCACAACTTAACTCCAGATTATCATTCTTAAATTTTTAGCTGAAGAGGTTTCCTTGTCACTAGTTCTTAGAGGACAGCTTTCTATTTTCAAGAACTATTATTTCATCCAAGATTCATTCTATGAGTTAAAAGAATGCCACAGAATCGTTTGCTGTTTATCCTATTCTTGCATGTTGTTGTATTAGATGTGTGGGTGATATGATTTTCTCATGGTTTAGGTGGGACATGCAGGGTAATGTGGGCAATGTGGCATCTCAGGTCATTTCTGATATAACTTACTATTAGGAATTTGTGAAAATATTCAGTCCTTTCTTGAAAAAAGCTTGGGTACCTTTTGGAGGTAACAAACATTGTACTTTTCCATGCGTCTTGTAATAGAATCCTTCGAGCTTCAAGTTAAGTTTGGGTTTTCTAAAATTGAGAAGACAAGTTTTGTTCCATCTTTATCTTTCATGGTTTGGGGACTTGCCTGGTGGTCCAGTGGTTAGGACTCCATGCTTCCACTGCAGGGGGTGTGGGTTCCAACCCTGGTTGGGGAACTAAGATCCTGCATGCTGTCTAGCATGGTGTATATCCCCAGTCAAAAATAAAAACGCCAAAAACTTGAGTGGTTTGACTTAGTTTTCTGACTCGAGACTGATTTTTAGTCTAAGTACTTTAGAAAACCTGTGAATTATACAACTCTCATTTTACCATTGAAAATGCTTCTCCTAACCCTAATATATTTATTATTATTTATTTATTATTATTATTTTATTTTTAATCCTGGTAGTGTAGCAATAACCGAAGTTCAGGAAATGAGATGTGGCCAACCTGATGCAGGGTAAAAGCTTGGTGTTACTGGCAATAGACAGTCTTAAATAATTTTTCAGAATTTTAATACTCATTATACTGTACTGATTTTGCTTACTAATATTTTATTACTTTGACTATGAAATGTTTCCCCCTCAATTTAATTTTATTGAGTATATGTGTGTGTATGTAGAAAATAAATATATGTATTTTCAATTCAGGTGCTTTAAGAGTGCTATATAGAGCTCTAGAAGGCAAATGTGGTACTGGGGTCAGAGGTTAATAGATTCAAAGCTGCATCTCTGAATTCCTCCACAGCTGAATTTGTGTACATACACCCGTCACTCCCTGTCTAGGCTCAGTGCTTTTTAGTCCGATATATCAGTGGTGCTAGTGGTAAAGAACCTGCCTGCCAGTGCAGAAGATGTAAGAGACACAGATTTGATCCCTGGGTCGGGATGATCCCCTGGAGGAAGGCATGACAACCCACTCCAGTATTCTTGCCTGGAGAATCCCATGGACAGAGGAGCCTGGCAGGCTATGGTCTGTAGGGTTGCAAAGAGTTGGACACGACTGAAGCAACTTAGCACTCATGTTTGCATAGGCAAATACCCTGGCAGAGAGTGGGGCAAACTGTTATGTCTTTATTTTCATTAGCAGAGCTCTCAGGAAAGGCCTGCTTTATATTCCAACAAGAGAACTTATTATGTGTGAATGGGAGAATTCAAAAGGACAGGAGGATTTTTTTTTCTTTAGTTTGCAAAGTGATATACCCCTGTATATATGGTAGATGAATTTCTTTTTTTCTCCTAAGTAACCACCCTAAGGAAGCAGTAGAAATTATTTGTAATTTGCATGTCTTTATAATGATACTTTAAAAGCACTGTGGCTTGGGACCTGGGGCCAGGGCATAGAAACTGTTTCATGGTAGCAAGCGAAGGAGTTCCTTAGAACAGGAGGTGAACTGCAACAGAATGCTTAAGGCAATATGAGATTGGGGTGATTTTTTAGAAAGTGACAAATGGTTTATGTTTCCTAAATCTGAGATGGGTTCTACCGGTTCTAAATGGCTGCCAAGTTATGTTATCACTTGCTGGCTTTGTAACGGCCTCAATTATTTCCTTCCTCAGCCCTGTATGATGAGATTCGTCAGTTTCGCAAGGCCTGTGGGGAGGCTCATCTCAAAACCATCTTAGCCACAGGAGAACTTGGATCTCTCACCAACATCTATAAAGCCAGTATGATAGCCATGATGGCAGGTAAGTGTTTTATATTGAAATGATGGTATATATTGAATGGATGCTTTTAAGAGACATTGGTAAGTCGAAGCATTTGGCTATTAACTGAAAGTGCTAACCACTTGGAGGTTTGTTTTTTTCCTGTGGGAGGGGTCAGCTATTTTATGAATACACGTGCAGTGGGGAGTGGTCACAAACTTGGCTTTCTTCGGTGTTTTTGGGTGGCGTTTCATCACTGCATTATCCTTGAAAGGCAGTAGATGGCTCTCTTGTTAGTGAATTGCCTTCTGCGTTAGTCTTTGATTATTCATTCATCAACATATGTTAGACAGGAATTTCTTTAACTCTGACTTATTCCTCTCTGTGAATTTAAGTGTTTGATTTTTTTCAGAGATCCATATCCGTCCAGTCTAAGGCAGCCTGAGCTTTTGTCTGTGTTTTTTTTTTTTTTCTTAAATTTAAGACAGTGTCATTGTTTTTTTTTGAAATGTAGCTTGTAGTCTTTGTTTTCACACACAGCAGATCTAACTATTCATACACCCAAGCTTGACACTGATTCCTTTTCTCACCTTGCAGGAATCAGTGAGTCAGTCTTGAGAGTTCCGTTTTTCGCTGTATCTCATACATTCTCTCCATCCTATGTGCTGCTATCTTAGGCCACTGTCATTCCCCACACGGATCACTTCAACGGTCTTCTAACCAGTTCCCCAGTCTCTGCTTCTGCCCCCTTTCAATCTGTTCCCCACACTGTTGCCAGAATGATCTCTCAGGAATGCTAATTGGGTTGCGGTACTGCTTGTTTAAAATCCTTCGGTGGCGGCCCTTCGTTTTCAAGATACAATATAAATTCCTTCAGCTTGGCTTTGATAAAGGTCCTGAGACCCAGCCTGAGCCTCCGCGGTCTCCTCCTTTTCATATGCGGGGCTCCATGGAGTTACCCGCCGTGCCCTGCAGGTGGCGCAGGACCTGCCGTTGTCTTGCACAGACTAGCTCTGGCCCAGGGGCTCAGTCCTTGCAGCATCATGCCGGCTCTCTGGTCGTGGCACGTGGGCTCCAGAGTGCGCGGCTCAGTAGTTTGCTACCCTTGGGCTTAGCTGCTCCGCAGCATGTGAGATCTTAGTTCCCCGACCAGGGATCAGACCCTCATCTCCTGCATTGCAACATGGATTATTAACCACTGGACCACCAGTGGTTTATTGAAACCCATGTCAGATAACTTAGGATACCATGATGGAGTGTTGCATCTTTAGCTGCCCTACTAGTGGCTCCATGTTTGGATGAACATACGTGACTTCTTGGTGCTTAAATTCAGGTCTTTGTTGCAGTCACCCTCTAGATTTTTCTACTCATGTGCTTTCCACTGAAGTCTCTCTCAGACCTAGCGTGGTTCCCTGGAATTGTACTGAAAATCAGCCGACCAGGCATTAATGAGGCTGTTGCTCTGGTTTGCTGCTGAATCCAAAAGATCTCTGCTCTGCTTATTTTATTTAGAGTGAAATCTCTGAAAACCTAAGGATAGGGAAGAATGGAACATTGTAACGAATGGGTCATCAGTTATATTGGCATTCCAAAGGTCCCCAATGATAGAAGATGCTGGAACCCTCAGGAGCCTGGGGAAAGCCCACTGGAGTCTTAGGTAGACAGGTAGCCTCCCTTTTCATGCTCCTAATAGGAGCATGAAACAGGACCAGGGAGTTATCCCAGAATGGCGTGATCCAGGTCACAGTGAAAGTGTATTTGTTCTGGGTGAGCAAGCCAACCCTGTACCTATTGCTTAAAATAGGAACATTATTATTAGGTCCTCATGCTTGGACACGCCTGTTCCACCCTCCACCCCACCTGTTGCACCCACAGACAGAAGTGTGACTAGAAACAGGCCATCACCTGTCTCTTCCTGTTGGCTCATTCCCTGTCCATCTTGTTTATCTCCTTCAGTTTTTCATCTGATCTGTGACTGATAACTGTGAGTGATAGAACTTGTATTTGTGATGTGCTTTACTAGATACTTCAAAGTTGTATTCCTTCACCTTCACACCAGCCCTGTAGCTGATGAAGAAACTTAAGATGGAGGGACTTGCCTAAGATCTCAAATCTAATTGATTATGTAAGTCATTATCTGAACCCAGGTGTTCTGGTCTCAGGTGTATCGCTTTTTCAGTTTTAACTCATCTGTCTCCCAAGGCACTGTGCCAGACCTTATCATGACTCAAAGGCACAGTCTTTGTGAGATGTATATGGAAGCATCTAGCACTTCCTGGCCACACTTTTTGCTTCTCATTCTGTTACGGAGGTATATAATAGAAATGAAGTCATTTTTGAAAAATTTTTTAAATGAAATTTGTGGACTGCCTTCACATTTCATCCTGTTTGTGTATTATCTAAAAACTTTTTTTTTTCTTCAAAATCAGCTTCATTGAAGTAAATTTATATCCAATAAAGTTCAAGTGTTAATATGTATGATATGATGAGTTTTGACAATTTGTATATTCCATCTTCCCAGAAACAGCCTTTGTTCCCCTTTGCCATCAGTTCCACTCTTTTTAACCTTCTGCTCCAGCTGCAATAACTGATATGATTTTATCACCATGGATCAGCTTTGCCGGTTTTAGAACATTATACAGTGTGTATTCTTCTGTGTTTGTTCACCTACATGCCCTGAGGTGTAACACCCGTGAGATCCATTCACGTCATTCTGTGTATAAGAAGTTTGCTTCCTTGTTTTTCACTGTACAAATATAGGAATCGCTGAATTTATTGATAGAAGGTGTTTAGAATATTCTCTTACTAGTCTGATGTCTGTAGGGTCTGTAGTTATATCTCCTTTTTTATTCCCAATGTTAACCATTTTTGTTTTCTTTCCTGTTATTGTTGTTGTTCTTTGTTTTGTTTTGGTAGAAAATATAGTCTTGCTAGGGATCTGCCAGTTTTAGTAATCTTTTCAAAGAACCAATATTTTGCTTTTTTTGCTTTATCATTCAGTTAAAAATGTTTTCTAATTTTTCTAATTATTTAGAATGTTATTGGAGTGTGATTTAGAATGAAATGTTTAATTTCCAAATATTTTATGTTTCTATGGATATCATTATTACTGACTTAAAATTTAAAATTCTTTTATGCTCAGAGAATATCCATTTTAAGACTCTTTTGCCTTTTGAAATTAATGAGATTTATTTTATACCTCATTTTATGGTATATTTAAGTATCTGCTTCAAGTGCACTGAAAAAAGTGTCATTTATTTGCCAATGTCAGTTGTAATGTTCTGTAAATATCAATTAACTCAAGTTGGTTGGTCACATATTTTAGATCTGATTTTGTTTGGTTTTATTTTGGTCTACTTGTTCTATTAATTTAGTAACATCAAAGATTTCTGATCACTGATCGCCATAACAAATAGTAATGAAAATTTTTGAAACATTTCAAGAATTACCAAAACATGGCACAGAGACTTGAAATGGTACTGATAGACTTACTTGATGAAGGGTTGCCACAAATCTTCAATTTATAGAAAATGCAATATCTGTAAAGTGTAATAATGCAAAGTACAATAAAATGAGGCATACCTATATTCCTCTTTACACTTCATATGTCACAAATATAAAAACTTTACAGCAGTTCCATTTACACCCTCATTAGTGCCCAGAATTATTTTACTATTCTTCTTCTTCTACTTGTTTATATACCCCTCCTCAAAGTGTTCTGATTTTTAATAGTCATTTGTCTTTTAAGGAAATTAAAAGAAGAAACCTAGGTAAAACCAGTCTTTTGCATGTCATTTCTTTCTCTCTTATTCTTCCTGTAGTCTGCTGGTGATTAGTTCTCTCAGATTTTGTTCATTGGAAAATGTCCTTTTTCACCTCCATGTTTCAAGGGTGGTTTACTGAATATAGAGTTTTAGGTTACAGTTTTATTTTTATTTCAGTACTTAACCTTATCATTCCATTTCTTGGAATTCTGTTTCTTCCTGTTTTCCTGTAAGTAATGTTTCATTTTATTCTGGCTGTGGCCACCAATATTTTATCTTTATTTTTCACTAATTTGACTATGATGTGCCTAGGTGTGGTTTTCTTTGTATTCATCCTTCCTTGGAGTTTATTGAGCTTTTTGGATTTGTAGGTTGTTGTTTTAGACATTAAAAAAAATTTTTTTTCAAATATATTTTCTTCCCCAGTCTTTTTTTCCTTCTGGGGCCCAAGTTCCTGAGTGTTAGATATTGTCCACAGCTTACTGGGGCCCGTTAACTTCAATTTTTATCTCCCCTCCAACCCCAGCCCCCTTTTTCTGAATGGCTAATATACATGGGTCTTTCTTAAAGTTCATTGACCCTTATTTTCTACCTTAAATTTACTTTCCTGCCCATCCACTGAAATTTGTGCTGATGAACATTTTTAGTTTTATAATCCATTTATTATCTTTTAGAATTTTAATTTTTCTACTCTTTTCCATTTTTTTCATTCATTGAGATCATATTTTCTTTAAAATTCTCGAACATATTTGTCATAGCTGATTAAAAGTCCTTATCTGCTCATTTGTATATCTGAATTACCTTAAGGTCTTTATCTTGAGCTGCCAGTTTCTCAATGCCTAAAAATAGTTGCCTTATATATTTTGTTCAGTTGTACAGTTATTTATATAACTATTTATAGCAGGAGAGCAAGTCTCATAACATTTATTCTATCATGTCTGGAATTCTTCATGGCTTTTCTTATCCCATCGATTTAGCATCAAAAATCTTGGAAGGAATTTGTCATTTACATTCATAATAATTTTTATCTTATAATTTTGATAGCCATTTCTATTATTACAAACCCAGTTCTCTAAAGAGAGAGAGGTAAAAATATATATAACTATGTTAGTCTGGTGTTATACATCACTGTAAGTAAACACTTGGTTATCCAGAGTGTGTTTACGTTTTTGGTCAACTAAGTGATCAGTAGCCTAGTTTTTGGTTTAATCTAGGGCTTCCCTGGTAGCTCAGTCAGTAAAGACTCTGCCTGCAGTACAGAAGACCCAGGTTTGATCC